ATAATAAGGTTACTCTAAATTCATAAAACATAATTTAAAAAAGGTCATTTGTATTTCTATAAGAATAATTTGATTTAAAACATTTCTTCAATAAATATTGACAGTAATTGGCTTTTGGCTTGGACCTAGTCTGTCTTAGATTGACATTATTAATGATAATTTAACAACACTCATAGAAAACTTATAACAAAATCTTGCTCACYACCTTTGTTATGGTTTAACTAACCCTAACTTTAATAATTTGAGCTAGCAATGCATTAAAACAGTTTTTTAATGCAAAACCTTTCAGGTTTGCCTTGTATGYCATTTCATTGTTTTTACTGTCACCTTGCTTCATTCTGAACAAGTGGTGCTTACTTTTTTTATGTCGTTTTTAATATATTTTGCTAAGAAAATAGTTAAATCAGTCCACAAGTTGTAGAAGTACAGCTGGTCTTTAGAAGACTTGCAGAYGTCAGGTCAAGGTACGTTTAATAAGGAAAGTGACAAATTATCAAAAGAAGGTTGGTCTTTGGTCACATTAGGAAATTGTTTACACAGCTGCAGTTAGCTTAGCCCTTTTGTAGTTTAGTGGTTAACATTCTTTCTCATTTTCATGGTTGTAAAACCATTAAAGATTGCTTATTTCCAGAGGTGAGTGCGGAGCACGTCCATAAATAAATCCAAGCGAAGAACAAGCGTTTGTTTCCACCGAAACTTTCCAAATTCCTCTCATACATGTGTCTGGTTTAATCGGCCCTCGGTAGAGAGAAAAATGAAAGCAGCTCTGTAAGGGTGGGGGTGTGTGTGTTTGAAGGCGGTGGTGGCACATTCGTTGTTATTGCGTTTGAATCCTGTCACACTCCTGCCTGATTCCTGTGGTTCACACACATGCAGGAACTCTGATATGAAGCTTTGCTAGCCAGCCCCCAGTCAGGGCCACCACTGTCATTATGCACTCTCCAAAAAAGCACTCAAATTACACCGAAATGCCGAAAATGCGTGTTTGTTTTTTATTAAATCGATGCCCGTGAAGGTGGTCCACAACTTTCTCGTTTCCTCAATTAAATCGCCGCCCAGGACTCGATGCCTCCGGGGCGTTTAGGGCTTGGATTTTGACCAGCTCGTCTGTTGGCTCAACATCCTGTTATTAAGTGATGTCGAGCAAAGCCGTTCGAAAACTGGTCACAAGCCAGAGGTGGAATGCTGGGATTTAGCACTCTGGACTTCGCCAAACATGCTCGATGGAGCCGCAGGCAAATGAAAAGTCTGTGAACGCACCATAATTTGGATAATCTGAGGTTAAGTTTTCTGGTGTAAGTGGGGCGGGGGAAGAAYTTGAAGGATCTGATCCCAGCTGGAACGCACTGATCTGAATACAGTTAGTAGCACTTCCTGTAATGTTGCTATCTTCAATCTGATCACTTATGCATTAATCTGGTTGTTTGTGTGAGGATTTCACGTCAGCTTTGGTTAAAGAGCCCATATTATAATGTTTAGATTTTATTGGTGTTGTTTTGATATTGCCACAGTTTAAAGTGACTTATGTAGTCCAGTTTAAGCRTATGTCTGTTATAGCTCCTCCTCTACTAGTTGGGCAACTTATCATTAAGATTGCTGCGTGCAAACATCCTCMCAATTTTTTTTATTGAGGGTTGGGTCAAACAAGCTACTTGAATTATGCAAATYTAGCTACCTAGGACAAGTATTAAAATAAAAGCCTGAACCTAAACAAGGTGTTTAAYACATAAGCCAATCCCAATCCTCGGTGCACACCGCTCTGCGTGTTTGAGATGTTTCCCAGCCTCAGCGCGCCTGCTTTAATGTGAAGTCATAAACTGTCTTCTGCGGGACCTAATGACAAGCTGTTGAGGTGAAATATTCCTTTGAATCAGGTATGTTGAAGTGTGAAAATGTCTAAACCGTGCAGGGTGGTATGTTTCAAGGGTCGAGATTGGGKAAACCGATTTGATCTTGAAGAGAGTTTTTAAATAACACAATTTCCTCTGGTGAAAGAATGTACCGACAGCTTTGGCACAAATWAGTGATTTAGAAGAAAGAGAAAAAGGTGAACTTGAAGCACCAGGTTAGATGTAGACTGGGGTTGTGTATTGAGTGTATTTGATAGATTGAGGATTTTTTTCTCATGTCAAATCATGATTGCTGTATAGTGAATATCACATACAAATTATAGTATTTTATAGTTTTTTTAGCCTCTGCTAATTCTTTTCCAATTTCTTCAAAAGTATCATCGCTCATGAGGTAGCGCGACCCCTGCTGGTTGCCACATGACCTGATTAGGGATGTCCCAATCAGATACTCAGTGTCGGTATCGGTGGCAGATATGCCGTTTTTTTTTGAAAATCGGGTAGAATCTGATTTAGTCATGCGATCGGGCCGATCCATTTTTCGCGACAGTTTTCAGCATCATCATGCTTTACAACTGCTGTTAAGAAGTCAAGACGCACACAAGTATGCGACCACGTCCACAGTGTGGGAACACTTTTCAATGGAAAACAATGACGCTGAAAATGCATCTTGCAAAATCTGCAAACTGGGTGTTTCTCGTGGTGGGACTCGGTTTAGTACTACCAACCTTGTCGCTTGGAAAGAAATAAAGCTATCGGATCGGTATTGGAAAGACTAATAATTAAAAAAATCAGATTGTATCGGGAGCCAAAACAAATCTGGATTGGGACATCCCTAGACCTGATCACCTGTTCCCCCATGTTTTTTTTCATGTGTTTGTGTCTTCTTGAATTGGTGTTCTTAAATGTAATTTCATTGTGCTCAAGTACAATGACAATAAAGGCATCATCAATCTCCCCCTGGAATCCTGAAAACCCTGGCAAAACCCCACCTACTCACCTATTTATCTAAAAATCTGCAGCTCTTATGTTTTGGAAACTAGGGAAAGAGAATGTCAGCGATCATCAGTTTAGATCATCTGGTCATTTAAAATGGTGACAATTTGGGGTTTAATTATGTAATTCTTTGTATTTATACGGGAAAATCTCTTGAGACTCATTGTTTGTAGCTTGGATGTGTGTATTCWAATCAATGGACTTGGTTCTGTGTATTTTTTTATGTTTTGCTTTGATCCATTGCTATCAACCTGAATGTAATTTGTCAGAAAACACTCACGTCTTTGTCCTGCTGTTGGACTTTATCTTAATTTTTTCCGGGGGGTATTTTGCTGTTGGATTATGAGAGAGGACAGTTGGGTAGTTTTTGTCTTACCCCAGTGAGGGTATGGTGGTCAGAGGATGATTGTTCATGAGCCACTGTGTGAAGTTATAGTGTTAAATTAAACATTAATACAGTAAAGCCCTGCAAAGTCACATTTCAGTTTGCAGACTATCCTTTGTGGATTTTTTTCATAGAATCTATAACTACTACTTCTAGTTTGTGGTAATTCCTGTAATTTTGCAGAAACTGGAAAGACAGTCCGTAATGAATGTAATTTATTTTTCTTTCATGTTTTTTGTGAGTTTTCAAGCTAAGTTATTAAAAACAAAGTAATTTTTGTAACAAACAAAACTGTAAAAATATTAAAAAAAAGTACAGTACTTGATGCCAACCCTACCCTGTGCCAAAGTTCCGCCCGTGTAGCGCAGCATTTCRACCTTCTGACAGTTTACTGTACAGTACCATGTAGGGTGTAGCTGCTTTATCATTCACATGTTTTTGTTTGGTTCTTACTGTGTTACGATGCCATCCAAATGTGATGTAGGCCTTTTTTGTACTGCATCCAGAATTT